CCAGCACCCCCGGGGGGCTGTCAGGACGTGGGGGCCTGGATGTTCTTGAGCATGTCATCGAAGGCGCGTGCGGAGGGCGCCTGGGCACTCTGGAAGGCCACCCTGACACGGCTGTACAGGCTGAAGGACTTCAGCCCCAGCCAGAGGAAGCCGAAGCGGTCCTCGTCGAAGAGCACAAACACCCCGGGCGTGCGCTCAGGGCTGGTGAAGCCGTGGCCCGCGATGAGCCCCGTGCCGTAGAAGCTGCGGGAGAGGGGCCTGGTGAGGGAAGCTGGCTGGTGGCACCCCTGCCCCACCCAGTCACCACTCACTTGCCTCTTGGGGCCACACTGCCCATTCGTCAGCCTGCTGACCACCGTCCCCAGCCCACCAAGCTCACAGGTCCTGGAGGGTCAGGACCAGTAGTGACCATCATCTCTGGGCTGGCTATGCCCCGTGTCAAAACTGTCACACACACACACACACACACACACACACGCACGCACGCACACACACACACATGCACACACACGCGCGCGCACACACACACACATGCACACACGCACGCGCACACACACGCGTGCGCAGTGGCTGAGCAGTAAGGTCAGACAGTAACACCCCGCCCGCTGACCAGGCCTCGGCTGACTTAGAGGGAAGTAGGTGCCTGTCTACTTCCGTCCCTGAAATCCACAGAACTCCAGGACTGCCTCCCCAATGACCACGGGGTGCCTTGGTGGTGGGGCAGGTGCTGCCCACGGGGTTCAGAGCCAGTACCACAGAGGCAAGAGGGACGCCTGTGGCTCAGCAGGGACTGGTCATCCGGGGGGTCTGGGCCAGCCTGGACCCTGTGGGGAGCAGTTACGGCCGCCTTCTCCTAGGACTGATCAGTCAGGCCTGTCCCCCAAGCTGGCCCGCAGCCCCGGCCCCACTCACCACACCCGGCAGGTGCGGGGGTAGTCCTGGCTGCGAGAGCTCACGCCCATGGGCAGCACAAATGGCTGCCCCGGCTTGGTGGGCGGCTGGGCAGCCCCAGTGCTGCCCTGGGTCTCCTGGCAGCCCTCGGCGGGTCCCCGGGCAGCCTCCTTGGTGGGCGGGGCGGGGTCCGGGGAAGGTGGGGCGGGGCCCTGTGCACCATCCTGCTGCCTCGCCTGCTTCCCGGCCTCCAGCACCGCTCTCGAGAGCGCGCTGAAGCTGTGCGGGCTCTCGGCCTCGGGCAGCTGGATGCGGCGCTGCAGGTCCACCTCCACGGTCTGCTGCCCAGCCGGGATGTTGGGGTCGCCCTGGGGAATGTGAGGCTGCTCAGGCTAGCCATCAGGCCCGGCCCCGGGAGCACGGGTGCCTGCCCAACAACACCCTTGGCAAAGACCACAGCCTTGGGACAGCATCTGGCACCAGCGTTCCCCCAGCACCGGTTTGAAGACCGATGTAGTCATCAGGTGTGCACGAGCCAGGATCCCACTCAGGCAGCAGTGGGGTCCCCGAGCCTCACAGGACCCCACTCAGGAGGGCTGTGGGTCCCCACCCCTCACAGGACGCCACCCAGGTGGCTGTGGGTCCCCACGGGCAAGCACTCACAGTGATCTTGGTGCCCTGGGCCCGAGTGCCGTGGAAACTGAGCATGATGAGCTCCAGCCCGTGGCTGCCGTAGGTGCCCTTGAAGAGGCCTGGCGGGACGAGGTCGTCGGGGTGGCTGGGCGGCAGGTAAATCCGGCGGTACGTCAGGCAGTTGCTGGGGGGAAGGGTCAGCTCAGGCTAGGCTGAGCCCATGTGCAGACAGCAGCCCAGGTGGGACCCCAGGTCTACTTGGCCATGCCCGTGGCCACGTCTGCTCTCACAGGCGAGTCCTGCCGTCGAGGGGGCAGCGGGCACCCTCCCCCAGAGCGGCCGTCACTCACTCATACTGGCCTGCCGTCGAGGGGGCAGCGGGCACCCTCCCCCAGAGCGGCCGTCACTCACTCGTACTGGCCTGCCGTCGAGGGGGCAGCGGGCACCCTCCCCCAGAGCGGCCGTCACTCACTCGTACTGGCTGGTGTAGATGAACTTCATCAGGATCAGCTCCTGCATGTGCTCGTGGAAGATGTCCTCCAGTGTCCGACCCCACTCCTCCCGCAGCCATGTCCGGAACTCCTTCCGACAGAGCACAGCCATGGGGTCACCAGGGGTCAGGCCTCAGCGTGGGACCCCGAGCAGTCCGGGTCTGCAAGTGGGGGCTGCACTGCTGGCCTCAGAGTCTCCCTGGGTCCCGGGCCGACACTGCTTCCTGTCCTCTCTCAGGAGGGGCCCGCAGATGGACAAGGCTGGGTGGGAGGAGGGCTGAAGGCTGGGGGGTGGGCGGAGGTGCCTTCACACAGCGGACTCCCAGTGGAGCCACAATCCTGACCTCAGACCACACACAGAGAGCAGCTCAATATGGCTGGGGGCCCAGACCTCAACACTGCACACAGCGTACAGCTACAAACGTTCGAGCACGGAGCTGCGGGGCCATCGTCTGGGCAGTCTTTGTGGGTCTCAGGAAATGAGCCAGAGAAAGAAACCGCCGGGCTAGGCTTCCACCGTGTTAAAGCTGACCGTTACTGATCGGAGAGCCGGCACGTGCAAACACAATGACAGGACCACCGCAGACAGAAGATAGAACGGGCGTGACCAGCAGGGACCTCGGAGCGGCCGTGAAGCAGCCCTGAGCTACACACTGCCACCTCGGCCCGCGCGCGGTCAGCAGGGTGCTCAGCCCAGGACTCTGCAAGACTCGCCTTACAAACATCCCTCCAGGGCTGAGGGTGGCAGCCGGGGCCCCTGGTGGCACAGAGGTTGAAGCACCCACCTGCCCACTGAGAGCCTGGCAGCTCGAACCCACCAGCCTCTTGGGGAGGGCAGCATGGCAACCGCCAGAGCCCTGGCGCAGGGCAGTCTGCTTGGTCCCCCAGGCTTGCTGGGGTCGGGGCAGCTGGGCTGGGTTTCCAAGGCGGTGCATGTCTGTCCAGGGCCCAGTGGAAGACAGGGTCCCAGGCAGTGGGTGTACAGACAGGAGGGAGCTTTTAAAGGCTTGGGCACTTGCCCATAGCTGCCTTGCTGCCCCATGGCCACAGCAGAGAGCCAGGGGCCAGGTGCTTCCCCAGCATTCAGCCCGGGGAGACACAGCTGTGCTGGCCAGAGTGGATGGGGCTGGGGCAGCTGGGCAGGGGGGGGCGGGGGGGAGACCCTACCAGGGACTGAGAAGACGCAGGAGGTTGGGGGAGGGGGCATTGACCGGGAGCTGCTGCTGTCCGTGGGGTTGGGGGGGGGGGCATTGACCGGGAGCTGCTGCTGTCCGTGGGGTTGGGGAGGGGGGCATTGACCGGGAGCTGCTGCTGTCAGTGGGGTTGGGGAGGGGGGCATTGACCGGGAGCTGCTGCTGTCAGTGGGGTTGGGGAGGGGGGCATTGACCGGGAGCTGCTGCTGTCCGTGGCCACCTGCTGAGGTGTCCGTCACATTGCCGCAAGCCTGGGCCTATGATGTGAAGCTTCTTCAGCAGCAGGGCTCCCTGCAGGCCAGGAGGGCTGGCACACCAGCTCAACCGCCCCAGCAGCCGAGATAACTGTGGACCCGTCCTGCCTGCCCTGGCATCTCCGGCACCTCACCTCCTGCCGGCCCCCCGACATGCGGTGGTGGTCCGTCTGGTTGCACTTGGTGGAGAACTCATCCTTCTTCACGATCTTCCATGTTCACAGCCAGCGAGAGACACACACACACACACAGGTACAACTGATTCAGACATGAATCTCATGGTCAGACAGGGATGACCACAACCCTGCCCCCACCACCCAGGACTAGACCCGGCAAGTGCACAGAAGACAGCTTGCAGCCCTGTAGTCAGGGAAGGGGGCTGTCCCAGCTGCACCCCCTGGAGCAGTAAAGAGGTGATGCACCCTGGCAGGGGACACACACCATTGCCCAGCAGTGACCAGGGGCAGGTGGGGAGTCAATGCCACCGGGCAGTCAGCACACGGGAAACAAAGGAAGGTGTGGAGGGAGGCCTCCCTGTGTCCCCTCCAAGTCCTCACCTGCACGTGGCCATGGTGGGGCCCCCGGTGGCCGTACATGCACTCCACGGTGGCTGACTGCCGCTCCGTCAGGTGGATCCTGAACAGAGGCTTGCAGCGCATCGGGTCATCCACATGCGGGTCGTGGGGTGGCAGGTACATCCACCCAATGATAAACAAGCCGTCCACCTGTGCCAAGGGGCGGTCTGCGTGGGCACTGGCTCTGGGTCCTCTGCTCTCATGCACCCCCACCCCCCCAAGGCTGGCTGTGCCGGCTCAGAGCAGCACCACCTCCTGTGTGACATGGCCCGTGACCTACTGGAGCAGTGGGGCCTAATGTGCCCCTGGGGGGGAGGACGCCCGGGGACACCCTCAAGAGAGTCGGCCTGAGGATCCTGCTCAGAGCGAGGCTGAAGCTGTGTGGGGTGGGCCCCCTCCCAGCCCCATGGGGGCCATCACTGCACTGCCCAGGGGAAGCCATGACCCTAGAGACAGGCAGAACGAAGCCCTAAACCATGGGCACCTGGGAGCTAGTCACGCCATCAGCATGCCACAGGAAGAGCTGAGGGCAGTGAGTGGTCCCCAAACACCAGGGGCTCAGAAAGCCTGGGCGAGGTGGAGCCTCGGGCCCCTGTGCCCCCCAACCCCACCCCTGACCCCGCTCTGAGCTGCTGCTGCCCTCACACAGCCTGCGCTGAAGGAGAGGAGGCTCCACTGCCCCGAACCTGCCCAGGCCACACAGGTGAGAAGCGCCCAGATCTCTCTCCAAACCCAAGAGTCACAGTGCCCTGCCCCACGAGCAAAGCACCCAGGGACAGCACGGAGGCCCAGCGCGAGCTCGGCAAACCCCCCGCCCAACCCAATGGAAAAGGGGCTGTGTGCCTGAGCTCCTCGCAGCTGCCAGGCACTCACCACCACGTTCAGCAGCCCGCCGTAAGGCCCGATGTCCGGCTGCCAGAGCCCCAGGATGTGCCGGTAGCGGTGCAGCACTGTGGGGAGAGCAGGCATCACACAGGGCCAGCGTGCAACAGGAGGACACACACAAGACATCACACACGATCGCACACACACGTCCTGCCCACGATCCTCCAACCGTGAGGAATGACACCGCTTTTGACATGGGGTGAGCTCCCATGTGAGGTAGTGAGTTTCCCGTCAGTGGGGGCATCCAAGCAAGGCTGGGCAATGATCTTATGTGGGAAGAAAATGCTGTTCTATCAGAACACGGCCATGCCACCCACACTGTTATACGCAACAAGATTCCAGCTAAAACCCATTGGGCACTTAAAAAAAAGATCTTTTGCCAAAATAATTGCAAAGTTGACAGGGATGGAGAAATCACTGATGCCGGCAACAACAGCAAAGACCAGCAAAGACGAGGGCTATTCAGACGGGGGCTGAGACCGGCCAAGGAGGGCAGCATGTGCATGGGATGGATGGCAGGCGGAGAGCCGGACAGGCGCCGGGCAGGTGGCTCATGACCCACTGACCAGCCAACCGGCCCCTGGGGGCACAGGGTACCCAGGGCTGCAGGACAGGTGGACCCAGGCTGCTGGGTCCCAGCGATCTTCTTCAGCATGCATCCCTCCCCCACTGCCGAGCCTGACGGAAGAGCCCATGTTTCTGGGGCTGCCCGTCTGCACCGGCAGCAGCCTCACCTTGTTCCCGAGGAGCGATGTCCCACGCCTAACCTGCAGCGCCACCAGGGCAGTGAAGATTGCCTAAGTCACAGCATGCTTGCAGGATTGCAGGGAGGGGGAGGGGTGCTTTAACCCAAAGAAAATCGTAAGCAAAACCCGGTGCTTTGGGGACCGGGTCACCTCACAGGGACACAGGGTTCTCCCAATTGCACTGAATGCCCAGAGGGGCTGGAAGAAAGCTGTCCGCCAGGATGGACGAGGCACTGGGCCTGCTCAGCGGCCTGTTTGAACCTGGCCCTGTGTCACCACACACAGCCGCCCTTCCCCTCCTTTGATGAGCCCCCCCCCACCGCCCCGGGAGTGGGGGGTTGTGGACAACATGCCCCTCAAGAGATCACAGAGCAGCTCTAAAACAGAGCAGAGCGGGGGTGGGTGGGATCTCTGTCTGTCACAAACACGACAGAGGCGCAGTCAGCCCCGATTCCAGTGTGTGCATGTATGTGTGGTAGGGACGGGGGGCGGGGGGAGCAGGGGTGATCCTGGAGTCCTGAACACACCTAACAACAGGAACCCGACCTGGGGGGCAAGCAAGCGCTCCCCACAAATGCAACCCAATTCCAAGAGAGAGAGAGAGATGAAGCAGCACAGACAGGGGAGAGGCGACATGGACATGATCAAAGGAGCTGAGAGAGAGAGATGGGGACCCTCCCTCCCAGCCTGAGCCACCAGGCTCCCCTGAGAGGCAGCCCCAGAACCACACCGTCTGTCTACACACACACACACACACACACAAGTCTAGACACTCCAAGAGAGCGGTGAACAGGAGGGGATCCTGAGCCCTTAGAAGCCAGGACGAGGCAGGAAAAGCCCCCCCACCCCGCTGGCCCAGCCTCAGCCCCCGCCTAGAAACGCTGCCAGAGTGTCTAGAGCCTGGTCGCTCTGGGTGTGTGATAGCTGTTCTGGAAGGTCCCCGAGGTAACGGAACTGTGAGTACCCGTCCGCCCGTCCCAGAAACCCAGGCCACACGGTGCCTGCCAGCACAGCAATCCATTGTCCAGGTCCACACCCACGCCATCGCTGCTGGCTCCAGGGGCGGGGGCAGTCAGCCTGCCTCAGGCCCACAGCCCCAAGGCGTTCCAGAAGGCTGGTTCAGGGACCCCAGAGCCTGGAGCCATCCCTCCCTGCCTGCACCGCCTGGTGGCTTGGGAAAGCCTTGTTTACTTGTCATATGCAAAGTCCCCTGAGGTAGGGGCTCTCTGCCAACCTCGCTGTGGGGGCCAGGGAAGATGCTGGAAGCCACTGGGTCCCCTCCCTCCAGAGGGCTGTTTGCTCAGCTGCATGTGCCCAAACGGCCAGCCTCTGATGGCCCGCCTGCAGGGGCAGGACAGGAGGCTGGGGGCTTCTAGGAACTTCGGGAGGAGCTGGGACCTCCCACGCCTTTGCCTTGGACCCTGTTATCAGCTCTCCCACCTCACTTGGAGCTGGCATCCAACACAGGCTGCCTGCCCTGCCTGCCTGTCTTCCCTCCCTGCGGACCCCGCTGGACAGGGGAGGTTCCGAGCCCTGGGAGGGAGGGGGGGCGGCACCAAGAAGGGTGCAGGGCCAAAAACCAAAGCCCTGCCAGCAGTCCATCCGGGCTCTGAGTAGCCCTCGGAGCCCAAGAGAAGCAACTGCCCTCCCCCCACCCTCGTCTCCCTCCAGGCCTCGCTGCTGGGGCTCAAACCGCCCTTGCTGGGCGCCAGGCTGACCGCAAAGGAGGCAGGGCCACGAGGGCACTCGCTCTGCACTCGCACGGGGACTGCACGACAGCGGGCGGAAAGGACAGACGGCGGCGACAGGCGGGGCCGCGGCCCCCCCCAGGCGTTAGGCTACTACGTCCAACACCGCAAAGCTGAGGCAGGGCCCTCACATCCGAGCCCCGCCCGAGGACCCCGGGTCAGACAGACGCGGACAGAGGAGTGAGCGAGCGCAAGCCCAGTGGAAGGCAGAGGCCAGCCTGCGCCCGCCCGGGCATCCCGCAGCGTGCAAGTCTGCGCGCGCGCGCACGCACGCACGCACGCACGCACGCACGTACGGCAGGTGTACACGTCGCGGTACGTCACATGCTCGCAATCGGGCAGGATTTTCACGAGCCGTCCCGACTTCTCGCAAGGGGTTAAGCCTGGACGGACACAGGGGGAGAGGGCTGGGAAGGGGCCCGACTCTCGCGGCGCATGGCCAGCGCTCCTGCTCTGCAGGTCACACTCCTGTCCACTGTCAGAGTCCGCCCTGGACCTGCCCTCGCGACTATCCCTGAGCTGCAAGCTGTGCATCCCACTGAGGCGGGAGACAGGGAGCCTGGGATGAATGGCCAGGGAACCCTGTGCTCCCTCGGCCTTGTTCTGGGGGCAGGGGTCTTTGTGTGGCTTCTGATGCAGGCGGATGTCCCCGCCCTCCTGTACCTCCGGGTGCTCGTGCTCCCTGCCACCAGACCCACCCAGGGGCCCAAGAATGGGCAGTGTCATCCTGGCTGCAGGGGACAGTGGGCAGCGAGGCCCATCTCCTGCCTAAGCAGGGGGGCATGCAGCACTGCCTAGCAGATGGTGTAAACCACTCCTTGGGGGCCAGGTTGATAAGTCGGGGGATCCACAGGGGCAGCTGCTCGGCAGTGGGCATCCCCGCCTACGACGTCCCCCTACTGACCTGCCCGTCTGCACACCCCGCTCCAATCTCCACAACCTGGAATGTGGCTGGGAGCACCCCCACTGGGGCCACAAGCACCCCAACACCTAACGTCGGCTTATCAGCAGCTGCTGCTGCAGGGCACCCTGACTCACGAGACCCGAGTGGTCCCCTGTGCCCTGGCAGGACGGTGCTGATGGCTCTACCGACTCCTCTCCAGGCCTTTCCTAACGTGTGCCGGGGCCTCCAGGCTCTGGCGAGCTTCAGTCCCCCACAGGGCCGTTTCTCAGTGCCTCTGCCCTTACAGGGAAGCTGCCTCACTGTCACTTTGCGGTGACGTGGGCCAAACAGCCTGGCAAAGGAAGGCCGTGACAAGATGGGGGGGTCATGTTGTGTCTGCTGCCATCCACCGTGCAGCTGACCAAGGGCCTCACCCCTGCAGGCAATGGACAGGGCGAGGACCTAGGCCCTGAGGACTGGCACAGAGGGAAGGAGGGGCACACATCTGTCTGCTCCTGAGACAGGAGCAGACGAGGGGGCCAGATGCCTGGCTAGTGAGCCGCCCTCCGCCACCCCCCACCCCCCACGCTGCAGAGACGCTGCAAAGGGTAAGGCCAGCAGGAGAGGGGACCAGGCAGGACTGTTCCTGGGGGCTTCCAGGACTGTAACTCCTGCTCTTTCTCCCCTGGGGGCTTTGAACTGCTGGCCCCATGGTTAGCAGCCCAGTGCATAACCACTGCGCCAGCACGCTCTTGGAGAGAGTACGGGGGGGACACAGAATGAAACTTAAAGCCTTGGAAAAGACCAGGCATCACCACGGCCAACAGAGGCCAGCCAGGTGGGCGGGGTCAGAGGGGAAGCTGAGACCGCAGGACAGTGGGAGGTGGAACCACAGGCAGAAGTGGGCAGTGTGTGGATACACAGAAGACCAGCTGCATCCCACCACGAAGCTACAGAGTGCTTAACTGTTGGCCATAAAACTGCTCGCTCTGTCCGGCAGCGGGATCAGTGGCCAACAGAGCGCAGGCTGTGGTCTCGGAGGGTGGGCAGGCGTGGGGGCTTCTTTTGCCAGGGAGGGGCCGAAGAACCTGACCACTGTTGGTGCTGTGAACCCCCCCAGGAGGGGTCTGAGGTGTGGCCCGTCGCCCACACCCTACAGCTCAGGGCAAGGGGACACTCACGCTTGGCGTAGACGTCCCGGCAGGAAACGCCTGTGATCTCCAGCTTCCGCAGGTTCTCGCAGACGCCGTACTCTGTGAGGGGAGCCCAAGAGTCAGCAGGGTCAGACGGACAGACTTGGGCCCACGCAGACTCCGCCTTCTCTGTGGGTATCCAGCTACCTTGCCTGTGGATGGGCCAGGGCTTCTGCGCACCCTGTGCACATGCTCGCTCCCTGGAGAAGCCATGAGCCTGCCCTGGTCCCCGACACCCTTGATGACATCACCGCTCGAATATCTTAATGTGCTCTGCCGTCCCACCCTGCCCGCAAAGAGGCAGCAGGAAGCCCCACTCCTGAAAGGACCTGAGTTCCTGTGGGAAGGAGGTTCCACGTGGCAGCTGGGTGGGAGGTGGCCAGGGCTGCTGTCACCCACGGGGTTGCTCCCAATGCTGGCCGAACCCCCACCCCGCACCCAGGAAACGGTGTGCAACACACTGGGACATCTTGGTCCCCTTCTTCAGCCCACCCTGAACCCTGCTTCCTCCTGTCCCCAGCTGGCTGCCCATTTGAGTCACCCCACCACCACGTCCCTACCAAACCACTGGTCCTCTGCTCAAGCCTCGGCCATGCTCTGAAATAAAGGAAACGTGGCAGACGGGGTCACCAACCAGGCCTGCATGTCAACAGACAGCTGGTGCTCACTGTGCCTGAGGGCCAGCCACTGCCCTGCCCTCCAGGAGAGGGGTCAGCACCGCCCCAGGAGTGGGACTGGGGGAAGCGGAAGAACATTGAAACCAGAACCCACCATGGGCACTCGGTACCCTCACCAGCGGCATTTCAGACTGTGTGGGCGCAGAAAGGCCTAATAGACTGTGGGCTGTCACTAGTGGGCGGGTTCCTGCACAGTGGGAGGGGAGTCCCCTCAGGAGTCTCACTCCTGTCTGGCCCTACCTGGACCCCAGTCAGCCCCGCTGCAGCCCACCTACCACCCCCCATGTGGCCTGTCCTGAAACTGCTGGGGGCCGACTTGAGCCAGCCCCCCACACACACCATGTGAGGCAGGTGGGTGACCACGATGGCCCACAGCCCCTGCATCACCCGGGCCTTCCCTAGCATTCTGGGCTCTCCTACTCAGGCAAATTCACTCCCGATCTCCCGCCCAGAACAGCAGGGTGGACAAAGTACCCCTGCCCAGCACCCAGCTGGGCCTGGCTGGCCCCTCAGTTATAGACGCTGACTCGTGTGGTAACTCTGGGGAGGGGCTGTTCCCCCAATGGACTTGGCTCTTCTCCAGACATCCCAGGGCACCGGCCTCTGCGGGGGGCCTTTCCGGTCAGGAAGACGAGCCAGTCGCTAAGCACATTATGTCACCCCTATCTGGGTGCAGCTCCTGGCCAGTGAGGGTCAATCAATGTGCTCTGGCAAGTGCCCATGTCTGCCCGGGGGGAAGGAGCCACTGTCCGGAGCCAGGGCCTGCCAGGTTCCCAGTGTCAAGGACACAGAGAGACACCCAGCCCAGAAGAAAGCACCACCTTCCTCGTCCATGCTCCTGTCAGTGCCCTGCAGGTCCTCAGCCCTCAGGGCCAACACGGGAGCCATGCTGGGCAATGGGGCAGGCGTTGCTTCCTAGCTGTAGGCTTGGGACACCCAACTGCCCACAGGCCACCTGCCTGCAACCGGTCTCGTGGGTATGGCCACGCAGGGCCTCCAGGGAACCAAGCTGCACTCCTAGGCCAGCGGAGAGCCCATGCTGTGTCCAGGCGTCCTTTTCCTCTGCCTGCAGGCAGACAGACTGACGAACAGTGGTTTCTCATTGCCCACTTTGCCTTCAACATCAGACTTCACAGGAAAGGGGTGCGTCTGTCACTGATGGCATCTCCATCCCAGGACTCGACAAGCGTGGTCACAGCGTGCATCACCCTTCCCCTGGAGGGGGGCAGCGGGCTCACACCACATGGCAGCGGTACCTCCCTGCCACACGTTATGTGCTCCCACCCTGAACTCACAGCCGACCCCACAGGGCAGGGTAGAACGCCTCCCCCGCGGGCCTCTCCCCCGTGTCTTTCCCAGGCTCTAACGCTCTGCCAGAGCAGAAAGCCTCTTCCGTCTCCCGAGGAGCGGCTGGTGGTTTCAGAGCGCCCACCCTGTGGGTTTAGCTTAACTAACACAGAGCGTCTGCCTCCTGCAGTGTGCTCTTTGGAAGTCTATCCAAACGGGACCTGAGTGACCATCGGCAGCGGGAGAGTTCAGACAGGCCCCTTGGGGGGCAGGGGGTCTGCACTGCCAGGAGGAGCCACTCAGAAGAGGAAGACAAAAGCCACCGGGAAGTGGCGTCGCTGCCCCAGGACTGTGCTCAGGCACTGCTGAGCCGGCCCGTCCTGTGTGTGTCCCCGCAGCAGCAGCAATGCTTTAAGTAATGAATGAGCCTTGGCCCCTGGCTGGCACTCTAGACAGGCAAAGGCTGTGCACACCTGCCGGGCCTCTCTGGAGGCATTCCGGGAGATGGCAGGGTGATGGCCCAAAGCGCAGCAGCCGCCCAGGGCCACTGGGCTGGCCTTCCGCGGTGTCTCTCAGCAGGGACTGCTGCCCACCTACCCAACCAGGTCCTCCTTGAGAACCCACCCCCGACAAACACACGTTCACAGCCCTGCCTGCTTCCTGAGGCAG